TTTTTAAAAATAGGGAGATAAAAAGCCAATGTGAGCCAGCAGATTGTTGATGTAAGAATATCATATATTCAGAAATGAAATAAAAAACAGACGTTTCAACCCTTATTATTGGGTCATCTTCACTATAGGTTTGTTGAAAAGTTCAATTCAAATTGAGATTTGTTAAAAAAATTATTATTAAAAACGCAGAATGAAATACAATTGATCTTCTCTGGGTATAATAATTATCAAATCAACCGCAACAGTAGGTAAAAAATGAATTGCAACAAATGTCACAAAAATATTTTGAAATTTCTGAAATAAAAACCTTTCAAAAGAGAAACACGTATGACGATAATAATTCGAAATCCGAGTTTCATAGACAACAAGGATTGTAAATGTCCCTGGATCTAGGGACATTTAGAGTCATCAGATTGAGCTACTGTTCAATTCGAGATTATTTCATGTAAAATCCAAAGAAAAAAAAAAGAAAGAAATATCATTAAAAGATATAGGCAGAGAAAAATCTTTCTGATATAAGATACAGTCAACGCGATGCTGCAAACACTTTGAAGCATTTTTTAATTAATCAGTTTAATGATTTAATTAATCAGTTTATAAAATTATTTATATATATTATACAGTTTATAAAATTCTTTCTTTTAAATGGTCCATCAAATGCTTCAAAGCGTTTGTAACGAAACTTTGACCACAGCCATATATGGTAAACTTCCAGTCTCAGCTCGATCGGTATTTCGACAACGAGAACCGATTGGAGGCGCTCTTTCATTAAGTATTAGAGGGGAATACACATGTTAAAACAATTGCAGTATTGCAGCACCCGCCATTAGCTGCGCGGAATCCGTACGAGCAACAGCAATATGATTCGAGTGACGATTGTCGTATTGACGCTTTTCTATGCGTTATGTTGTTTCACGCCCTGTCTTGCCTTCAAATTTGATAATTGCGGTGAGTGTTTTATTATTTATTATCGTTATTAATCAGGGATTGACAGAAAATCATTTGCAATAAATCTACCTTGAATGAAAATGTTAATAATTTATTGAAGGGATGTTGCGTTTTCGGGATTTATCCATCATGAGTTTAAAAATTTGAGGCCAAATGTTAAAAAAGTAATTGATTTTGGTCACAAAGTCTGTTCTATAATGTATTTTTTATATCCTTTCTTCTCACTATTCGAAAAATTAGAATTTTGGATTCGGTTCGACTACACGAATCTATTTCTATCTATTTCAATTCTCAAGGAAAATAAATGGAAATGGATTCGTGTAGTCATTGCCGAATCTAAAATTCCGATTTTTTCGGATACGGGTTGCTTTTTGTTATTTTTTTTTACATCTTATTCTTTTGCCTCTTATATCTCGTTTTCCGTCGCTTGAGATAAAAGTTAATGAACTTTAGAAGAAACAAGAAACACATCAAGCAAGAAATAATACAATCGTCAATAAAACGGTCGCAAAAAGGGGAAAAAATAAGTAAAAAGAAAGAAACAGGAAACAAAGAACACATTATAGATCTTATAAGACTAAGGTATAAATAAAAAGAATCAAGGTTGAAAAGTATATAACGCGTTACTTGTAATATTGTTACCGTTATATATTGTTTCGTTAACAATATTACATTTTCTTCTGAGTAATATGTTTATGATAATGAATTTAAAATAATACTTGCACAATAATGCTTGAGGTAATGATGATTTCATTAATTATTTTTTTCGTTACTTTATTTCTAGCCACGTAAAAGTTTTAGTCGTAATTACTAAATCTTGTGTGATATATATATATATATATA